GCACAGCGGCAGTGTCAGTGTCCGCGCTGCCAGTCGAGCCCACAGCATAGACGAAGAACGACACATCCTTGTAGCAACTCACGTCCTCCTTGATCGCCCGCAAGATCTGGCCAACCTCGATCCCATCTTGGTAGTTTGGGTTCGTGCCCCGAGGGGCGCAGATTTGGATCCATGTCTGTTGCGATGCGAACCAGCACGGCACCTTCTCAGCAAACGAAACATTGTTTCCTGTAGTAATGAGCATCATCGCTGCACTTCGAAGGAAAACCCAACTGTCACCACTCTATGGTACAGGCTGTCGCACCTCGAATGCTTGAGCCAGTATTGCTATGATCCGCCGCCTGGCGATCGTGCTTACTTGTTTGATGGCTGTTGCTTGCTGTTGGGTGTTTGTTAAGTTTTACATCCATGTACGACTGTTTGACACTTGGTTGTTGCACTGTCGTTTGATGTTCGGATATCGGTTTGTTCTTTTGTCGGTCACTGTATGCTGGCGGCAAAAACACTGATTGGGGTCCACTGGCGGCAAAGACACTGATTGGGGTCCACGCCAGCGAGCACTTGTAGTCATTGTTTAGTGCAAATGTTATTGCGCCCCGCTCTGTGTTGCATGTTGCTCCAATAACTCGCTGATTGGGGTCCACGCTGGCGCTCCCGGGGCTTGGTGATGGAATGACGTGCGATGATGATGCTGATGATAATCAGGTTCGAGTTTCACCCATGTTAACCTCGCCTCCCAACGGCAAAGAAAAGACTAAGTCAAACGAGGCACGACGCATGCAACATATACGACGATTGACACACAATCTAACAACTGCTGCAAGCGGGCATGCATTCTGGCAACCCTTAAAGTTGGGCACACTGCGATCTCCGATGGCGCCCTGCTGCGCCTCGATGGTGTAGTCAGTACTGCACGTCTCCGAGTTGGTCTTGCCTCGCCTCGATCTTGTAGTTCACAGTGAAGACCACATGGCGCGAGCCCTGCACGAAACCCTCACGGACGTTCTGCTGCCACACCTGTTTGAATATCTCCTTGACGGGCGGGGGCATGCTGGAGCGCGTAGCGTAGACGTGCGTGACCTGGATGGCGGCGCGCCTCTCGCGAGGCTCCCCGCGGATCAGCTTCGCCGCATGCGCGGCAGCGTCGTCGAGCTTGCGCTTCTTGTCATCGGCCACCGCCGCCGCCGCACGGCTGCCCTCGGACTCATCGCGGGTCAGACGCCGCTGCTCGGCGCCATCGACGACGATCGGGCCCGCCGGCTGCGCCGCCCGTTTCGGCGCGGCGGCCGCCGCCGCCGACGACGGAGGCTCCGGCGACGTCGGCGTGACCTCGCCCACGTCGTTCGGCGGCTGCGCCTTCGCCGGCAGCGGCGCCGCTGCCACCGGCGCCATCGGAGCCTTGGCCTCGGCGGGCGACGGTGATTTCGTTGCCGACGGCGAGTGTGACGCCGCTGCCGGCGGCGCCTGCGGCGCACTGTCCTCGACGATCACCGTCTTGATCTGGCCGCCCAACTTGTTCAGGATAGGGGAGGGCGGCACAACATCGCGATGTTGCGCCATGGGCCGCGCCACAGCGCGGGGCGGCGGCTGCGACGTGGGGAGGCTGTCCTCATCAACTAGCGTATCAGCCTCGGCGCCAGCCGCGATGAAGGAAGCGTGGCTGTACTGCGGGATGATGCAATCACCACTGCGAAACGTAAGAGCGTCGCTGTCGGCAAAGCCAAGCTGGCTACCATCAATGCCGCCGAGGCCGTCCACGAGAGAGTCCGACATGCCGATGTCGATATGAGACTCCTGCGTCATGTCGAGACGTGCGATGCCTTATCGTTTAAGGTAAGGAGATGCAGCTAGCCAAGTGCCAGCTCTGTCACGCCAGTGGCCAAATTCGTGCCAAAATGGGCTACGATGAGGGACATAGGAGGTGCGTAGTGGAGGAGGTGGTGACGGGAGTGGAGGATGCCCCGCGCGTCGACGGGCTCTGGGGGCGACGCCGCGCGACGATGTCGGGCTCAGCATGGCGGCCCCCGACCTCACGAGGCCTTAGACCCCCACCCCCCCGCTATATTCTCGAGGTTTCCCGACCTCCACTGGGGGGCATCTGAGATCGGAAGGGGTGAGGGCGGCCTGAGGCGTCTGACTGGCAGAAGCGAGTTGCTGGCCAGCAACTCGTTTCTGCCAGTCAGGGGCGCCCCCGACTGGCAGAAACGAGTTGCTGGGCCCCCTCGCGGCTGGCAGAAATGAGTTGCTGAGCAGATTTCGTACCCCAGCAACTCGTTTCTGCCAGTCAGGGGCGCCCCCGACTGGCAGAAACGAGTTGCTGGCCAGCCATTCGCTTCTGCCAGTCGGAGCCTCTGCGTGGCATTCGGGGGCGCTCCCGACTGGCAGGCCCTCGGGGGCGCTCCCGACTGGCAGAAATCGGGGGCGCTCCCGACTGACAGGACATCGGGGGCGCCCCCGACTGGCAGAACTCGGGGGCACTCCCGACTGAAAGGGCTGACCTGGACTGGCCACTGGACTCGGACACCCCCCCCGCCGGCAGGCGCAGACTGGAGGTGGAGGAGGAGGAGGGGGATGATAACAACGATGATGACTGATGACGAGGGCGCTTTTGTTTCCCAGCGCGCCCGGCGAGGGCTAAATCGTCGCGATGCACACCGATGCGCCTAACTAAGGACGCAGCGATCTAGGTCCCCAGGGCGTGTTGTGTCTAAGGCGCCTCGGCGGCATCCATGGCAGACTTCAGGAGGCGCTGGACGACCGTCTTTGTAAACCCATTGCCGATCATGGCGCCGAGGGTGTGGTTGGACACATCTGAAAAGTCCACGAAAGCAATCTCATCGGTGGTGAAGCCCTGCAGCCGCATCATCTCTTTGCAACTCAAGCGCTTCGCCGTCTGCAGGTCCATGTACGAGAGGCCCTTGCACCTCGTCGCCGTGAGACACGGCGAGTAGCCGATTCCCATGTTGAGTTTGGAGCTGCCCATGTCGATGATGACGCCGTAGTCCGTCGCCTTCTTCCCCTCATCACGGGCCATGGCCTTGATGATCCCCAAAGCTTTAGAGATGTGTTCCTGGACCATGGGGCTGAACCTCTCTAGGGGGTAGTTGCTGTAATTCACGAAGGGTGGTCGTGGCTGGTCGTAGATGATGCCCAAGTCCAGGTGGTCAACATCTGACGGCCACTCGAATGTCACACTGCTCCGACCCATGCGCTTCACAGCCACGATGTAGAGGCGCTCCCTGCTCTGCGGCACGCACCCGACGTGCAGCGAGTTGAGGGTATTCATATACACGTCGTAGCACTGCCCCCCAGTTGCACGGTCTATGATGGCCTTGATCTTCTTCACGATCGCGTTCAGTGTAGCCTCGTGCTTCTGAGCCATGCCTTTCACGTTCTCCAGCATGACCACGCGAGGCTGTTGCTTCTCGATGTACGCAGTGATGTACTTCCACAAGTTGCCGCGGGGATCGTTCGCGCCTCCATGGCGGCCAGCTAAGCTGAAAGGTTGGCAAGGGAATCCGCCCGTCAGGATATCCACGTAGGGGGCCTGGTCCACGAAGCCACGCGAAAGGTCGGTGTACTCCTGGCCTACTAGCACGTTTGCCCTCAGCCACGCCTGAGCAGACTTGTCGCACTCGCACCAGAACTCGAACTCGAAGTTGCGAGACCCGATCGCCTTCAATGCCCAGTGGTCTGTCCCCATGCCCGAGCAGACCGAACCCACCTTGATGCAAGAAGGCAATGCGAAGCAACAGTGGGCCCCTGGATGGTAAGCGGATGGCTTTTGAACGAACTTGCTCGTGGCCGGTTTCTTGAGCTTCTTAACCTCAGACTTCGACGGCTTAGCTCTAGCTTTAGGCGTGCCCTTGCCCCTAGTAGCCTTAGTGAACTTAGTCTTGCCCTGGGCAGCGCCGCGCGCCGTTGGACCCTTCAAGCCCACCACGGCCGAGCCCCAGTCCATGTCCATATCGCCGGCGGTGGTTTACCCGCCACGCGGCGACTTCCAGCCAAAGTATCCCGATACTTCAACTATTGAGCCAAAATGGCTGTGGAGGGGGAGGGGTGGAAGGACCCCCAAGGAGGACGGCGGCAGCCTGAGCAGGCCTTGCTCCCAAAGGATTGTTTTTTGGGGGGTCGCCGCGCTGGCCCTCGGCGGGGCCCCGCGTCGCCGCGGCTGGACGCAGCTCGGAAGACTGGTATTATATCACTCATGTGATTGCGGTAATCCTTGTAATCTTCCTCCTCCTCATCATCATCATTATCCTCCTCGTCCCCCCTCCCTCCCTCCCACCTCCTCATGCTCAGAAGGCCTGGGCCCCCTCCTCCTCCTCGGCCCTTCCAGGTGCGAGGAGGAGGAGGGGGGAGGAGGAGACAGACGCTCGGGGACGCGAAATATCGTCGTCGTCGTCGTCGTCGTCGTCGTCGTCGCCACCGGCGGCGGGGCGGCGGCGGGGCTGCCGGCGCGCGGCCTGCGTAGTGAAGATGAGCCCGAAATAATCGTCGTCGTCGTCGTCGTCGTCGTCGTCGTCGTCGTCATCCTCGTCGTCGTCATCCTCGTCGTCGTCGTCGTCGTCGTCGTCGTCGTCGTCATCCTCGTCGTCGTCGCCGTCGCCGCCGCCGCCTCTTCCGTCGTCGTCGCCGTCGCCGCTGCCCTCCCCCACCCCTCCTTCCATCGTCCCTTCTCCTTGATGTGATTCCTCGTTCCCCTCGGCACCCATCGGACTGGCGCTGTTGTTTGTTTTGTTTTGTTGTTTCAGGCGACATCAGCGGCCCCCTTGAAATCTCATCCAGCAGCAAACTGAAGTATCACTGATCCGCACGGCCCAGCAGAAACTCGCGGCGCAGTTCCCGACTCGTCGGGCACACCCTCGCAGTCTCAGATCAACCTCGCTGCATTCAGAATTGAGCACCGGCGCCAGGGGAGGCTGAGGAGGCTAGCAATGATCTCATAATGAGGAGGATGAGGAGGCGGAGGACAAGAGGAAGCAGCAGGGTTCAACTCAACCGTCCAGGCTCGCGAGCTTCGCAGCGAGGGCGCTCTGAAGAGTCGCGTCGCCCCCCGCCGCCTCCCCGCTGGCGGCCCCGGCGCCCTTGCGCGGCCTACCGCCCTTGGGGGCGGTCTCGGGATCAGCGGGGGGCTTCGGGCTTGGGGTCTCTGCGGCGGCGGCGGGTCCAGTGCTGCCAGGTCCACTTTTCTTCGCGATGATGTCAGCCAGGGCCTGGTCGAACAATGGGTGCCCTGGAGTGTGCATCAGCCTCAGAATCGTGTTTTGTATGAATTTCTCGAGTGCCACCTGGGGCCCACACAGCAACTCAAATAGTGAGAGCGACGAGGACGAGGAGGGGGATAAGTCAAGGAGACGAGGGGGAAGTGGAAGATAATATGATGAGGAGAAGGAGAAGGAGGAGGAGGAGGAGGAGGAGGAGGAGGAGGAGGAGCAGCAGGAGCTGGAGGAGGAGGATTTTGTGTGACCGCAACACCTTCTGGTCATCCGAGTAGCGCACTCCGAAGTAGGGCACATCATCGATCAGCGAGTGGATCGCGAGCAGCCCGTTGCAACACGTAAGGTCGATGTTGACCACGCCGTTCACTCCACTGGTCACCTCCTTGTGCACTTTGACATTCATGCCATGGTAGTTGAAAGGCACGGTATCCTTGCCCCGCGGCCCAGGGTCGGCCTTGGCGTCGTCGCCGGCAACTGCCCCTCCAGCCAATATCCACGCCGAGTTGTACAAGCCTGGCTTATCGCTGTGCTTCACCGTCCACGTGAGCGGATCGTTCCTCGGCGGCTTGTCGAAGTTGCCGATCACTGGGTCCTTGTTGGAGCCCTCGCTGAACACCTTCTTTTTCTCAGGGATGGGATCCCCCTTGCTGAACTGGAAAACAAACTCCATCGTGGGGAGCCCGTAGACACCAGAGTAGTTGCCCCTATGCTCCTTCAAGGACTTCTCGGTGGTCTGCAGGAACAGGATGCGCTTGTCCTTCTTGAGGGCCTTCCCATCTTTGTTCTGAAAGGGCTTGCCGAACTTGTGATCGTTACCGTGCACGCCACCGTCGAAGACGCAGTAGACCACGTTCGGGGGCATCTCGTCCTCCGGCTGATCGTCCTTAGTCAGGCCAGCCAGCGACCCTTTGATCATGCGATCGTAGTGCGCATCCCTGAAATGAACAATGCGGAGGTGCCCGCGCGCGTTCGGGTGTCCTGAAAGCTTGGCGTCGTAGAAGACGACGATGTTCGAGTCTTTGGCGACCTGCATGTCGAGCCCCTCCCACCACGTGGAAAGCGCCTCTGCCACGCCTGTTGGGGACTGCGGGTCCACGATGAGCTTCACAACCCTGGTGTACTTGTTTTTCACGATAGTTGCCCAGGGCTTCAGCTGCTCCTGTAGGTCGGGGTCTGAGAGCTTGCCCTTGACGGGGTCTAAGTCGAGCTCATCGTCGTCGTCGGAGGTGAGGAGGTCCTGCATTGTGACATCGGCAGTGGCATCTGTCGGCACCGCGTCGCCCTCTGCCACAAGGGCAGTGTAGATGGCGTCGACCTTCTCCTTCAACGGGGACCTGTCGAGAATCTCCCCCGCCGGCGAGCCCTGGATTTTCTGCTGCTTGATCTGCAAGTCGAAGTCAACTTTGAAAACGCAGTCCTCGAACAGAGCGATGGCCAACTTAGAGGACTGCTTCAACGCAGTGCGCCAGGACGCGTCCTTCTCGCCTGCCTTGTACCCGACCATACTGCGGTAGGCGTCATGCCCGCTGATCCACGTCTCCAACCTCTGAAGTGTCGATGCGTTGAGGCCCATGTCGTGCACCTTCTTGATGATGCAGTGCCCGAGCTCCTGCTTGGCAATCAGCAGGTCTAACAATCCCTTCCCTCCAGGGAGTCCTCGACCCGTCAGCTGGCGAAGGCTGATCTCGCCGGCCGTGGTCATCTTGGCCGTCACCAGGTCCAGCAGCCCAGCCGTGCACCAGTGGATCAGGTTGCCTGATTGAGCTCTCTTCACCACCGCCTCGTACTTATAGATGCTGTCGAACGGCGTAGTCCCGCTCGAGTCGGCCTCCACCACGATCTTCTGAGTCTGGGCGTTGCTCATGAGCCTAGCCCCCACGGTAAAGCAGGCGTCAACGTACGTCTCCGAAATCTTTTCTGAGTTCGGTGCGAGCTCGACCTTCTCGGCCCACATCTTCGCCGTCCTCTGCGCGCCCACTTCATGCCCGAGCGAGGTCTCGATCACGTCCTTGCTCTCCATGATGTCGAAGAACCTCTGCGTGGCCGTGCGCTTCCCGGCGTCGCCCATAGCCGTGATGCTCTCGCGGGACTTGTGAGCCGCCCAGTAGGAGTCCATTCCTGGAGACGACGACGACGACGACGACGACGACGACGGTGGCGGCGGCGGCGACGACAACGACGACGACGACGAAGAAGAGACTGGTGCCCCTCGACGACGACGACGACGACGACGACGACGACGACGACGATGGCGGTCCTGGCTCGACCACTGTGAACTTCACTGGGAAGGTGATCAACCCGCGCCTCAGCATGGCCACCTGCTCTGAAGCGGGGCTAGTGTCGAGTAGCTTGGCCGTGCCTAGGATGACGGCCCAAATCATCTCAGGAGGAGAGGCCGTGACTAAGTTGCCGAACATCTCCGAAACGTCCTGAGTGGCGTCCGTGACGCTGACCGCGGCAGTGAATGTATCTGGAAAGGAGCCTCGGAAACCGTTCTGGAAGACTATGTCGACCAGGGAATTCAACTTATTCATGTTCGTGTGCGCCCTTTTCGCGGGTTTGCCGTTCAAGTCCAGCTGAAAGATGTTGAAGCCAACTGGGCCGTAGGCGTGAGTAGTCGTCAGGCACGCGGTGCACGTATCACCGTCAAAGGGCGCGACCGTGGACGTCTCCGCGGGGTCCCTCTGCTCGCGCGAAGGCAGTGGTAGCGGCATAGCTGTGCCGACATTGCCCATGTCTGGATGGCACACGATCTTCTGCTTAGCTGCCGCGACGCGGCTCATCAAGGAGTTGTTCATGTTCTGTGCGACCCCGCGCGAGCTGCTCTCAGCCGCACCCGGGATCTGCTTGCCTGCGCCGCGCGAGGACTGCGGCGATCCCGATGAGGCCGGCCGAGCCGCCCTCATCCGCCGCCTCCCTGACGTCGCCAACCTGGAGGCTCCCGCCCAGCGTCGAGGCGACCATGTGAGCCGCCTGGCCTGCCTTGCCGAGCCTGGGGACCTTGCGCGGCCGCGGCTTGTCCTCGACTTCGGCCTTCGCCTCAGGTTCGGCGGCGGCGTCCCCGTCGGGCGGCGGCTCAGCAAAGGGCGCCATGCCGTCGCCGCGAGACTGGCGGCCCCGACCGCCGCCGCCGCGGCCGCCGCGACCGGCGGCGGGCCTCCTGGCACTGGGGGCCATGGCGGTGAGAAAGCTGGCCTGACTGGCGGAACTCTGAGATCAGAAACACAACTCCCAACTAAGTTTTTAAACCAAAACGGCTAGAGCAGGAGGAGGAAGAGGAGGAGGAGAAGAGGGCTCCCAGACGTAGGATGCACCGCTCCCGGGCGACCCAGACAGTACTTGCACTTGAGGGGGCCAAGGATTGCACAATCAATACTGGCATCTGCCCAACGCTTTACCGCACCCCCGGGCAGCCCAAACAGCACTTGCACAATCAGTACTTGCACTTGCACCGCCTCCCTCCCAGACAGTACTTACACTCGCCCAAGCAGCACTTGCAATATAATGATGTTTAGGGTAGTGGTTGTCTTAGGTGTTGATAGTTGGCTGTCCTATGTATTTATGGTTACTTGCTAAGCGAGGTGTTCATACTCTGGATTGTCTTAGTTGCTGCTGTTGTCAACTGTTGTTGCTGTTTACGTTCTTTGCTCTCCAAGCCAGTTGAGTTTCACTCAACGCCAGAGGAGGCCCTGGGAGTCCTGGATGGCCCGAAAAACTGCGCTCGCCGACCCAATTTTAAGGCGCGTGAGATGACCAGACGATTACACGTGATCTATATGACCTGAGTTGTTTCATGATGCATCGCAATGCGCATCATAAGTAAACTCACGAACGATGTGTTGCGCAAGCTGCGCATCGCCTCAGAATAAGGGCGCGCGAAAACATACATCCACACACCTCGTGCACACGCGCAGCATCACAGTTGGAATCGCGCGTGCTACGACAAAGTCAACATGCGGAGCCTGCGTGCTAGGGGTGTTGCCGCGGATGGGCGAAACCAGCACGCAAAGGCTGTTTTTATTTTTCGGTCAGAATGAACGCCGATTCGGTCAACAGCATCGGGCAATCAGCGCGGCGGCAGTGCTTTCTTCCACATGCACGCTGCCCACAAGCCCTGATGGTTGATTGAATTGTAGGGCCGCTTCTCCACAACATGTGCCAAGTACTGCCTATACGTCCAGCCAGCCTCGCTGCTCTTCCAGTGCCTTACCTGAGGGGCATTAGTAGTTTCATCGGGCTCAGGGGGGTCCGAGAGCGTTCGTAAGCTAGCCGCCTCCTGGAACTCTTTTTGCACGTGCATCATTATGCCCAGGGACAACGCACAATCATATTCACCGAGAAACAATACCGTCTTGTTGCACCTGAAAGCGTGGACCACTGCACCCACAATGTCGATTTTATTTTCCGTAAACGCTGTCCCCAAGAAAACCGATGGGTCACATGAGAGGATTGCCGCCTGCTTCGCCTCACCGATAAGGAGTTCGTCGCCTTCTTCATCTTGCCAATTACATTGTTTGGGCTTCCACTCGAATGGCAAGTCATGCGTCAAACCCGTAATTGCCCATGATTTCGATTTCACAACTTCTCTATTGACTTCTCCAATGGTGTTCAAATCTGTCTCCCTGCATAACGTTAGGAATGCAACGTTTGGAAGCACCGCGCGAACTGCACCCCAAACCATGGCGGTGTACGGGCCAAGAGAATGATCAACGTGTTCGACTCTGAGAATTTGTTTATATTCTGTCGGACAACAAATATTGCTCATGATTACCAAGCCACCCATGTCGATGGAAGCCAAGTCCAAATCAGCCTCGCACAAAATAAATGCGTCCAAAATCTTGATTTGACAACCAATCCAAGTGAGGTTCAACATGTTGTGTTGCGCCTCCGGCCGTTTGGAGAAACTCACATCCGAAACTATACAGGCCATGGTGCTTATGCCTGGTGTACGTACAATGCTCTGGCACAATAGAGCGGGGCCAAAACGGCTGTGGACGGATGTTGTTGCGTGTTTTTAGTTTTGTGTTTTCTCTTGCGGATGTTTGATATGTTTGTTGGTTGTTTGTTTATGTGTTGTTTGTGGTCATAATATATATATTTATATATATATCCCTCTCCCTCTCTCTCTCTCCCTCTCTCTCACTCTCTCTCTCTCTCTGTAGATACCTCCGACTCCTCCTCCCCCGAACCGCCGCCCCACGGAGGGGCTCGGCAGCGCGCGCAGTGGCGCCCAAACTCGCACCACCCAGGCGCGCGCGCGTCGGCGCACCCCTAGAAAAAATAAAACTCGGGGAGCCGGCGGCGGGCCACTTTGGGCATTGTATGATCCTCCCCCGCCCCCTCCTTTAGCCTCTCTCTCTCTCTCTCTCTCTCTCTCTCTCTCTCTCTCTCTCTGTTATGTGTTTGTATATACATGTATGCATGTGTGTCTACATGTCGTTGTTGTTGTCATCGCATGTTGTTGTTGTCATCACTTGTTGCTGTCATGTTGGGTGATATTGTGTTTGCTGGTGACGCGCACGCACGCTCGCAAGACAAACCACGACGTCAACAAATACATCGCAGAAACACAACACATACAAGACAACATCAACACACACGCACACACACACACGCACAAGAAACAAACCCCTGAGGGACGAGAGTGCGGCGTCTGAGTAAATTGCGATGAAGTAGGCCCCAAGGAAGAGCGCGGCCGCGAACCTTACGTAAGTTGCAAACAAACCTCAAGCATGCGCGGATGTCTTGAATGAGTTGTGAGGACGTGTCGGGCAGGGGGGGGGTATTATTGGCCAGGGACCAGCGCCCCGGCGCGTCTGCCGACCATGATGATGTAGACGACGGTTGGGATGGTGTAGACGACAACAATGGGGATATTTTTTCTTCCATATGTTGACGACGATGTTTTGGACTACCATGGATGGTGATGATGACGATGCTGGAGACGATGGTGATGATACGGTGGTGATGGTGGTGGTGATGGTGATGGCTACGAAATGATTCTGATGATGGCGGGATGGTGATGCAATGCTGATGATGGTGGATATGATGATACATATTGATGGTGGCGACGATGATGACGATGATGACGGTGACGATGATGATGCTGATACTGGTGATGATGACGACGACGACGACGCCGATGATGATGATGATGATGACGCGCGTTTGTGCGCGTCTGCCAACCATGGTGATGTAGTCGACGATTTGGATGATGTAGCTGACAACGATGGGGATGATTTGTTTTATAGGATGACGACGATGGTTTGGACGATCCTGGATGGTAAGACGAAGATGGATACGATTGTGATGATATGGTCGTGATGGTGGTGGTGGCAGTGATGGTGACGATATGATCATGATCATGGTGGTGCTGGTGATGAAGATAATGAATGAATGTGATGACGATGCAATGATGATGACGATGGTGGGTATGATGAAGTTGACGATGACGACGATGGTGGCGATGATGGCGGTGACGATGATGATGATGCTGGTGATGATGACGACGGCGACTATGATGATGAGGGTGACGCGCGTGCGACCACCACTAAGGGTCGGGGGACACCCCCCCCCTGCTATGGCCAGCCAAGTCAAGGCCGAACAGACCCTCGAGCGGGCTCACCTGCGGGAGCAGGAGGTGGTCCTCACCCTGGCATGGGCCGAGCAGGCCAAGCGGGTCACAGTTCGCGCGCTCGCTACGCAGGATGGCTTGCTGACGGAGGGCGACGCTGCGCCGAAGAAGGGCGACGACCCACTGTTCGCGGTCACCTGGGATGAATCATTCTTCGAGTCTTTAGACTCGCCCCTACTGGGCGAGTCTAAAGATAGGGCAGGATACCCTCAATAGGCTGAAGAAGGACTTGGCGGCGTCCAAGGCGCACCTCAACACCGTGTCCGACGAGGTCAAGAGCTGGGTGAAGGATCTCAAGTCGGCCCAGCAGGCCATCGAAGGTCGCATGGCCAGGGAGCGGAAGGCAGCAGCTGGACAACCCCTTCCTGGTGGCGCTGGAGGTGCCGGAGCTGACGATGGTGGCGCAGGCGGTGGTGGCGCGGCTTCTGAGCCAGCCCCCGCGGCGCTCGCGGGCGCTCGCGGCGATGTCGACGACCCCGTCCAGCTGGCGGCCAAGCGCATCAGCGAGGCCAAGAAGACGGCGGCCACGGCGGCGGCAGCGGCGGCCGAGGGCGCTGGCAAGGGGCAAGGCGCCGTCGGTGCCGCGGCGGCTGTGTGATTGCAACTTGGGGGGGGGGCCAGCGCGCAGTCGCAGTCGTCCCGCGGGGCTCCGCGCACGCTCCCCCAATGATCGGGGGCTACGGTTTCTTCGTCGCCAAGTGAGGCGCTGTTTTTGTTTCGCCAATGTCATTGCCATGGGCAAAAAAAAGCTTGGGTATCTCACTGGTGCACAGTCTAAGCCGTATAGTTATTTTGCTGCGTGCGAGGCGCGCGTCGAGTCTCGCGAATCTCTCGCGCCTTGGATGGACTCAGCCACCCAGGCGCGCCTCGAACTTTTCTCCAACCCCGCTCGTGCCGTGGGCGAGGCCGCCGCTCAGAGCGGCCAAGCTCGTGCGAACGAATGGGGCGAATGGGTTTTAGCTCGCAAGCATCTCCAGGTGTATTCCCTTGCTGCGTCAGAGGCTGCATGGGGCGATCTCGCAGCTGACGGCTCCTCAGCCCTAGACGGTCTCGCTGCTGTAGCGTGCCGTCAGAAAGGCTACTCTTCCATGCCCATTCCTTGCAGCGGCCTGTGCGACGAGGGCTTCGCAGGTGGGCATCTCCAACGGTTCACGCGCCTGGCGGCCCGTCTTCTTCAATGTCGGCCCCCGTGGATTGTCGCAGGCGTTTTCAGTGTGCCGGCGGCCATTCTGCAACGGGCTGGCTTCGAGGATAAAGTCGGCGGCGTCATATTTCGAGCGCCCCTTGCATGCGCCTGTGCGCTGGGCACTGGCACGCGTATCGACGATGTCCTTGCTAGCCTTTCCAGCATTCCGTGCATCATTGGCGTCGAAGGGTGCCTCGATGTCCCGCGGCGTCCGCACTGTGGTCTGATCTTTCGTCTGAGGTCGTCTGCCCAACAGCTGCTGCGTCGGGGGCCCCAGGTGGCTCGGGAACTCCCGCAGGCTCCGCGGCCGAGGGCCGTGCCGCGACCGAATTCGAAGTCCAGTGAGAGCAGGGCCGC